AAAAAAGAAAAAAAAAAAAAAAAAAAAAAAAAAATTTCACAAATTACATTTTCAGTTTTAAAAACGTTATAATTTATTTTTTAATGGTTTCTCTAGCAATTGGTCGTTCCCAGAGGGAGACTTGGAAATAGGTAGACTGTCACAATAATGGGGGCTGAGGCCACTGTTACCCTTTAGTGGCAGAAACCAAAGTGCTGAGCATCCAGTACTGTGCATGTTAGTCTCAAGCTGCAAAGGAGTGCCCCACCCCAGGGCCCAGAAGCCCTACTAAGAGCTCTGCAAATTATGTGTAAGCAAATAGCAGCCAAGTCCTTGCTCTGCTTAGAAGCAGATATGGGCTAGGGCCATCTGCTGGTCATTCACATAGACAGACTTCAGAGCTGGGGAACGTCCCAAGGGAGATGAGTCACGGAAGGAGGGTTGTCTGCCAATGGCTTGAAGCAGAGGTGTCACAGTATCCCCTGCATGGCCATCCTTGACAATCAGTTGCTTCTTCCATTGGGGGTCGAATGAAAGACAGGATTTCATAGTTTTTCTGTTATCTAGTTGTGAAATCTCAAAAGCTACAGATAAAGATCACTTCCTGTCTTAGTTTTCATTTGTAAAACTAAAAGAGATGGTTCTTGGTTCTATGACTAATTATAGATTTGAAGACCTACTTTTTAAACCAGTTTTATATGTAATTTTGAAAATGTACATCTGTTTGGCTTCTTCTTTGAGCTTATTCCAACAAGCCTTTACGTTCTTACATAAAGCTTCTATGCCCTTTGCAAAGAGTAGAAACTCCTTCCTGCTTTTGATGCCTTTCATCTTTTGTTTTGATAGGCAGAAAGATATCTTTAAGATTTCTAAAGAGTCTTGAGGAAGTTTTTCTAGGTATTATGCCCACAAGAACAGTATTACTACTGCCCATTTATGGATATTTTACTTGCCAGCTTTGAGCAGTTTTTATCATTTAAAATTACTAAAAAGTACTTATTTCTGAGCCATGGTAGGCCTTTGCAATCTTTATGTAATAATAGCAGGCTACACAATATCAACTGGTCAAGTCACATCTTTTGTTTGTTCAGACAGACGCATACTTTTTTAACATAACAAGTAGAGGTCAGCCGAAACACACTTGATGATGTGGTTGTTATATAGCACCTTTATATACAATATGAAAAACAGGTTTCTTGTGGTAACCACCAGTGTGTCTTGCACTCTCTGTTGATCCCAGTCTTCCTGAGGAACAGCGGTGCCTCTGGGGAGAAAAGCTAGTGAATCAGCAGAATCAGAGAGTCAGTCCTGTTGTTCTGAGCTGTAATTTTGGTCAAACAAGCAGGATGTCAGCACTGGTGGTGGAAATGGCTTTCAGATTGCTACATGGAATAATAGAGTGGGATATGTGGAATTTCAGAACTGGAAGGGGGTTCCTTCATTGTTTTCCTCCATTTACTTTATACTTTTTTTTGGGGGGGGGGTTGATAACCTTGGACTAGTTACATTTGTCTTTTCCTTTTTTTTTTTTTTTACATTTTTATCCATAATACAATTTACTTGGCAGTTGAGGCTTTCTCAGCTAAAGCCAGTCTCTGTTTCACCTAAGTATTTTAATAGGTTCAGAAACACCAACTAAAAACAGCTTTATACTGACTTTTCTAAAGTCAGTCCTTGTCTCACCCAGGTATTTTAAGAGGTCCAAAAATTCTTGGAACCGTAATAAAATCCCATTATAACATAAATTTCAAGTATTCTGCATTATGTTCTCCACCTTGAAAGATGACTACATTAACAAATACTGTTAAAAGGCTTGTTAATTCTGTTTCCCCAAAATTCCAGGATAAAACAATTCTACTTTAATGCTATTAAGGCTATACTGAGTGGTTTTCTTGAAGTAATAAGACTGTGACATATAAAATATGAATAGGACACACTTAGACTGAGAGTGTATTTGTAGGAGAAATTATTTAATAGCATCTTTGAATTACATTCCCTTTATTGTTCTCTTAACTGTAATGGTCTCATCTAATTTTTATTTATAAGCTTGCCTGCCTCCTTCTTTAACAGAGTATCCCTTTCCTGGAGTCTGTGTGGCTCTCCCGACTCCTGGCTCAGACAGTGCAGTCACGACATAGGCATCTTCTCATGAGGGTGTCATGCAGGCTGCCTGCATTTTAACTTGAGTTGGTACATTCTTATTTCCAAGTAGATTTGTGATCAAGGAAAACCTTCAGAACTAAATGATAACATCCAGTTACAATGTCCTTTTAAATCTTAAAGTTTCCTAACATGCAGGTAGGTGTCCTGTAAGATCAGGGTACTTTGTTGTGCTAGGGAATATCTGTTCCTTTTAGAGTTCTGAAGAGATTCTCTGACCTAATGGTACATTTTCCCTACTAGTGATCAAAGAGATTGCCCTCGACTTGGAACCAGTCATTTCTTAAAAATCCCTGGTTCCTTCAGTGGAAATGTACCTAGAAATCATAATCAGGGTGCTGGGGGTGCTGGCTCCCCCTGGGTGGTTGTTGCCTCTAGGCATGTTCGTCGGGTAGACCTAGGAAAAAACATTTCTTCCAAAGAGGGGGAGTTCATACAGATATTTGAAATTCAGATTTAAGATTAATTACCTGTTTATCTCCTTCCTGATTTTTATATTTATATCTCATTTATCTTATACTAAAGAATTTTTCTTATGCTTTCAGAATTTTAAAAAATTGTTGCTTTTTTGTTTTGTGTTAAGGTACTACTTCCTAACTGCCAGATGGGCCTGTTTTTAATATCTGTTTTTGGTGAAGGTGTGGAAAAAGGACATTTTCATACACATTTGGTGGGAATGTGAATTGGTACAGTATTTTTGGAGGGCGCAGTCAGGTCCTATCAACATTAAAAATGAACATAAATCTTTGACCAAAAATCCCAGTTTTTGAATGCTAGTCTGCTAGTGTATGCAAGAATGTGTATGTAAAAGCATGTTCACTGAATCATTACTAACAATAAAAGAAATTGTGAATAGATAAGTGTTCATCATAGAATTTGTACGTATGTTATTGTATGATGTTACTATAGAAAACTGTGGCATTATCAGAAAATGAAAACAGAAGCTGGTCTCCATGCACCAGCAGGGACTGAAGTCCTCAGTCTGCTACAAAGTGGGAAAAAGGTGCAGGACAGGAACGTGTACTCACTTGCTTTGTTTATAAAGAAACCATGTGCATTTGATTTGGTAATTAGAAATAGTTTGGATACTTAATATTTTTGCCCTTTTTTTTAAAACAGCTTTTAGAAATTAACTGGACAGGACTGACTAATCTTCTGGATATCCCTGGATTGAAGTAAGTCTATGTCAGGTCCTGTAACAGCTAGCTTGTTGGTAACGTAACGCGCATTTCAAGTGTCATAAAAATAACATGAGAACAGATAAGACCTATGTGCACCAGGTAGAATTACTGCCTTCTCAGTAGGCTCTCATGAGAAGTGTGTAGAGAGCATAGTTGGGTTTTGTTCTCATAAGCACTTGGGAAAGTGGTTGTGTCCTAGTGTGCTCAGGTGGAATAGTTTCAGGAGTGCTTGAGACAGAGTCGCCACCTTCATTTGCTTTTTGTTCACGGCAGGGCTTCCTCCCAGTCTTGGTGGTTTAGAAAAGTAGCAACCTTTAGTATCCTGTAAATTAATTTTTAAATTTGTTTTTTTTAATTTTCCTAGAAACAATAGATAAAACCTTAAACATGAATATGTGTTTCAAAACTGACCCTTTCCAGGTTCTTTCTGAGCTGCGGCCACCCCTTCCCTTTCTGCTCTTGCTACCTTTATCCATTCATCCTTGAAGGAGCAGGGCTCAGTGTGGACCTAGTAACCTACAGGACTCCTCCAGGAGTCTGGGTGTGAGAGGGAAGGAACTTGGAGTCACTTCATTAATCTGTAGCAATCTAGTGTCTGAAAAATGAGAAAAATATCCCATAACAAGCACCTGAGACCATGAAGGGCACATCCCAACTGTGAGAGAAGTGAAGTCATCTGGTTGCATCACAGTCCGTCCATCTGAATGGTGGATGGGGACTGTTTGCAGCAAGCCTGTTAGTCACCACCAGACAGGGAGTTTTGAAATTACAGCTTTCTAAACTTGCTTTTGCTGGCTTTACCATTTTATTTGGAGGTTTAAATGCATTACTTACTGGTTAAAGTTACATATGTTTCTAGTGTATATTTCACTAAACTGTGGATATTTTTTCCTAAAATAGCTTTGAAATTAAGTTATGAATTTTTTTCTATTCCTTTTTATTTATGTCTCTGAAATTGCCATTAGAAAGAATTTTATTTTGTTTCATTATTAGGGAAAAATTAAACTACTCTGAGCCATAATCATAATAAAAATCTTTTTTCAGATTGTGATTCACTGAGTTATGAATTTTTTTCTATTCCTTTTTATTTATGTCTCTGAAGTTGCCATTAGAAAGAATTTTATTTTGTTTCATTATTAGGGGAAAATTAAACTACTCTGAGCCATAATCATAATAAAAATCTTTTTTCAGATTGTGATTCACTGGATTTAGAAAAATACTGTTATCTTTAAAAGATCCATGGAAAGTACAACTTTAAAATATACATACATGCCTACATACATACACATACATGTATAGCTCCATTTTCTTTAATAATTTATTTGTAGGCAGGTTCTTTTCATACAATAGTAGCTTCTAGCTATTGTTTTATATACAGATTATATATATATATATAATATAAAAACATATTCCTATACATTCTGTATATATATATCATTAAGAATATATATGTACATATTACATAGAAATACACATACACCATTCAAAAATAGGCTATCTGTGGTGTAAAAGGGATATATAAAAATTATAGGTAATTGTATATAATAAAATATAACATTATTTTATATAAATTTTATGTAAAGAAATGTAATACGTATATACTTACATAAAATTGGGGCTACTAATTCTCACTCAAAGACTTTCTATCAAATCACAGCTGTAGCAGGCCCGATGTTATAAAAGTGAATATTCAGTAACTCTGACCCTAACATAATGAAATCTTGCCCCAAGCTTTATCACATGAACCATCCACATGCCGTCTTCATTGATTACAGAAAGGAACCCGAGATACATAGAGTAGGAATGATGCCTGGACGCTGGCCTGTGCCATGCATTTTGGCTAGTGGAGAGCTCTCCATGGAGCGTTGGAGGTGTGAGAAGGGATGGGAGTGAGGGTAAGGCAGGAGTACAGGTGATGAGCAGGAAGGCTCCGAAGGGCGAGCTAGGAAAGCTGGCATTCCTGGGCATCAGGCCAGAAGGGCTGTGCCGGGGGGGGCGGGGGGGACGACACATGTCACAGCAGCAAGAGAACTCTTTAAAACATTTCAGTCATCAGGAAGGGGTTTCCTGTTCCAACAGATTTTTCAGTATAAACAAAACCAGTGTTTTTTTGGGAAATGCCAAAGGTAAGACTGTGCTTGATATTAAAGCTTTGAAGGACCATTTAGTACTCCTACTTAATGAACATACAAGTATATCCAGTGTCTGCAGCTTAAACCCTGTGAGCTTCCTTGGAACTATTAACAGTCTGCGTAACTGACCAGTTCATAAGTAGGGTACTGTTATGTGTTGTTTTCATTTTGGGGTTTTTTTTAGTCTTTCTCATATGAAAGGTCCTTAAGGTAGGTTACCATATCTGGACATTGCATGTGGACACCTGTCTTGCAGTAGGTGCTCAATCATTATTTACTGAATGATGTTCATCACTCCGAGTGATATTTTTATATGTATATACCTTACATATCTATGTTAATAATTTTAACATCTTAAAAATACTGGCAAGAAGTAAGGTTTCAAAACTTCTCAGTTCAGGTAAAGGTGTTCTATAGCAATGAAACTTGCATTTATATATGCTTTCAAAAGTACTACCACATACACATTATTTAATTCTCACATTGCCCTAAAGGATGGACACAAAATATACTAAAAGTACATTTGTTCCTTTAGCCTAAGCAATTTTATTCATATTACTGTGCAGTGGTGTATAGTATTTCAAAATTATTAAATTATTTAGTACCCCAATAAAGTGTTTGATAATGTGTGAAGAGAGAGCAAACTAAATTCTTTTACTTTTGGGAGCCAGTCTACAACAATACAGAGAAATTTAATATGTATATAAACACAGAATGGGTTAATGAGTGTTTGTTGTATTGTTCTCTGCCCTTTTATGTATGTTTGAAATATTTTATGTTAAAAAAAGAAAGTCAATGAAATATGTCTTAGTTATTCGGTATTAAATCTATGATGAAGTTATGTAGAAATGTATGAAATGTTATTTAGGAAATTATGGTATGTAGCTAGAATCTCACCTTGTGTTCTAAGAATAAAATCCATATCATGGTCACCATAGCAGTATAACAGCTTGAGTATTGAAATGCTGGTTTTAAAAATCATTGGGGCTGGCCAGTTAGTTCAGTTGGTTAGAGTACGGTGTTATAACACCAAGGTCAAGGGTTCAGATCCCTGTTCTGGCCAGCCATGAAAAATAAAAAGACAAAACAAAAATAAATAAATATCGTGTTGGAGAAATTAGACAACTCTTACCCTATAAATTGGATATTATATCATGTTTGTGGTAAATTTATTGTTAAAGGCGATAGCAAGTATTGGTATGTCTGATATTTTATTCTTTTTACCTCCCAACTAACAGTGGGTTATCAGATACTATCATTTTGGATATAATATCAAACCATCTGGTGCTTCCCAATCGAATCACCGTTCCTCTTGTCAGTGAAATTCAAATAGCTCAGTTGCGGTTTCCTGTACCAAAGGTAAGCATGTCTTGGCATCCATTAATATTTACAAACAGGTATTGAGGATCTTTTCAAACACTTGGTGTTCAAAAGGGTTTTGTGACCTCTTGTATTCCTCCTGACCACTAACTTGCTGCGTGTATCTTGATGCTATAACGTAGTTTGTCTACCACATTTCTTCAAAGATGTACTCCTGTCCCTCTGACCCTTACACTTGTCACAGAGACTTCAGGGCAGTTACACCTCAGTCATGTTCCTCAAAGGGGCTAACGGAATTAATTCTGCAGATGTTATTGCAAGTCATAAACGACAACTTAGTTATCTCAGAAAGCACATCTTTGCACTTGTTTTTTTTTGGAAATGTGACAGCTCTCGGCAACAAGCACCAGTTTTCCCAGCGATCATAGTGAGAACTCTGTATAATGATTTGTATGTTTTCTCTCAGACATTAGAATATGGTTACCTCTGGAGGCATTTAACGAGTAACACAGTAGAAGAAGCATTTATATAAACAGCTGGCCTGGATAAAATGGAAAGAGCAGAACTAGGTTTGAGTCACAGCTCTTGAGTTTAGTGGTAGCTTTGCTTTTGTGACCATGTTAGTTGTCATAGCTGGGCCTCATTTTCTTCATCTGTAAAATGGGGATGATACCTGGAACACAGAGTTGGGTTACAGATGTTGGTGTCACCTTCATTGGAGCAAACTAAACTGCTTGCAAAGATTGTAAGGACTTGCTAGCCAGGAATATGAAATTCTTTCTGCTAGTCATGGAAAGGATGGTTGGAGTGATTGATCTCTCGTAGGTTAATGAGAGCTTTTAAACAACTTGGGAATTGGATCTCACATCTTTTTACTCTGTCCCAACTTTGGACTCCAGAAGTCAGGTAAGCAATACTGCCATGGTATTGTCTGCAGTAAGTAGTGATATCAAGGCATACAGGACTATTTTTATTTTTGTTTCTTGAAGTGGAAGTATTTTACTCTGTCCCAACTTTGGACTCCAGAAGTCAGGTAAGCAATACTGCCATGGTATTGTCTGTAGTAAGTAGTGATATCAAGGCATACAGGACTATTTTTATTTTTGTTTCTTGAAGTGGAAGTAGATAACTTTTCCCTGATACCTTTTCATTTTATTTTTGTTTCTTGAAGTGGAAGTAGATAACTTTTCCCTGATACCTTTTCACTTTTTCTGGTTGAATTAGATCTCAGTATTTGTGCACAAATCAACAAACATGCATAAGCATCCCTGTATTTCTTAAGAGTAACCATACCTATTTATTTGATGCCCAGATGAGTTGTGTTGTTGGCATTCAACAGATTTAATGTGACACTACATATTAGAAAGGAATGTCTTTTTCCCTAACCTGTGATTCTCATCTCTGAAAATGCAGGAATTCCTTTATATGTAGAAAAGGCTTACGTGGCTCCTTTGCTACATAAGCCTTTCATGCTCAGAGTACGAGTGAGCACCTGAGCCTGCCTGGATCCAACCACCCCAATTACATTAAAAGTCAATGCCATTGAAAGATGTTGCCAGATTATCTAAACTTTAGACATATGAAAATATAAACAAGAATTTTTTAGTTTTTAAAGTATGTTCGTCTATACAGATGCATGTCTTTCTATGCTGATTGTGTCAGGAATATCACCCTGTAATTTTTTAGGGCATGAGGGAAAGGACTATGTTTAAAGTCTATGAATAATATATGTTTCAGTTTCAGTTTCATCTTCTATAAAATAGTTTTAATGACAATATTTCATGGGATTGTTTTAAAAATTGAACAATGTAGTTACTGCATATCAAGCGCTTAGTAACAGGTCTGATACATCCTATCATATTAGTTATTACTTACTGTAGTACCACAAGGATTGTTTAGTGACCTACAAGGCTCCATGTCATCAGCCCTCTCAGGATGAGCATGGTGCCCCACTAGGACCCCTGCACTCAGTGTTCCCTCAGCCAGGAAGACTCTCCAGGTGTCTGTGTGACACACTCTCCTGTCTCTGTGCAGGTGTCTTCATAACAGAAACCTGTCTGTTCTCCTGTCTAAAACAGCACCACTCAGACTCTGTCACCGTGCCCTGCTTTTGTTTTTCTTAGCACTTGTCACCTGACCTGTTACGCACTTACCATCTTTCTCCCCTGCTGGGATTCGCACTGTACAGGAAGAGGGTCTTTGTTTTGTTCTGTTGCCTCCCCCAGTTCTTAGGACAGGGTCAGACGTAGCTGTGTCCCATTCTTGTCAAATGAACCAGTGAATGATCTAAACACTTGTTCTTCTTTTTAGGGTGTTCTAAGGATACATTTTATTGAAGCTCAGGATCTTCAGGGGAAAGATACTTATCTTAAGGGACTTGTCAAGGGAAAGTCAGACCCCTATGGAATTATTCGAGTTGGCAACCAAATCTTCCAAAGCAAGGTTATCAAAGAGAACCTTAGTCCAAAGTGGAACGAAGTGTTCGAGGTAATGTATTGTGTCCACTTATGTTGCTTGGCTGGTGGACTGAACCCCAAGCTGGAATGTCCTTGGTCTGATTCCATTCCTGTCACACAGGAGTATGCCTCATTCAGACCATCATTTAAGTTTTCTTTGCCATCTTTAAAAAGTATTATACCTTTTTTCTCTACCTCACAACATTCCTATCATGCCAGCACATAATATTTTAAACCTTAGGGCTGGCCCATGGCTCACTCGGGAGAGTGTGGTGCTGATAACACCAAGGTCACGGGTTCAGATCCCTATATAGGGCCAGTTAGCTCACTTGGGAGAGTGTGGTGTTGACAACACCAAGTCAGGGGTTAAGATCCCCTTACCTGTCATCTTTTTTTTTTTTTTTTTTTTAAAGGGGTTAAAAAAGATTTTAAACCTTAATTACAAAATGCTATCACAATAAATAATCCGCAAAATATTTTTTATAATGTGAATATCCTGTCTTTTTAAAATTTTTAAATGTTACCCATGGTTATTAAGACACAAACACATACAAAAATGAGATTAATTATATGCTGTCTTTTCATATAATAATCTGGACATCTTTACACGTCAGTAAATAGAGGTCCACATGATTTTTATTTTTTTTATTTTTTTTTTCCTTTTTGTCTTTTTTCGTGACCGGTAACGGGATCACAACCCTCGGTGTAGTAAATAGAGGTCCACATGATTTTTATTTATTTTATTTTTTTTTTCCTTTTTGTCTTTTTTCGTGACCGGTAACAGGATCACAACCCTCAGTGTCGCGCCCGCACCGCAATCAACCAGTGAGCAGACCAGTCTCTATATGGGATCCGAACCCTTGGCGGGAGTGCCGCCGCACTCCCAAGCACGGCACTCTACCGAGTGCGCCACCGGGCCGGCCCAAGGTCCACGTGGTTTTTAATAAGCGTTTCAGTGAACAGACACCATCATGCACTTACCTAGAGAGAGTGGTTCTTTTTGTAGAACCACTGTGCTGAACAGTGGTGCAGTTCATTCTCCACCAGCTGCCCATCCTCCACTCCTTTGTTAGTCGGTCTCTTGCCCATTTCTTACTCTCTGCATTGTGATAAGTGGATAACTTGTGGTTATTCCAATGGTAGCATCTGAATGGAGCTACTTCAGGACTAGAGTAATGGGTCTTATATCTTTGATCTGTCCTACACATTGGTCCTGACTTATGGGTGACATCCTGTGACCTTGTTTTGGAGTAATTGAACTTGACCCATTGAGATGTAATCTGGAATAACTAGAAACAAAAACAGTAAATTGTTACTATGTGGCCAAGTATTTCAAAGTGATCTCCCAGTCATCAAGAAGTACCCAAATGTGTACCCAATAACAAAATGTAAGTGCTTTAAAAACTATTTACTGCTAGAAAAAAATACATGGTAATATTTGCTTTAATCATTGTACTCAATAGATGAGTGTATTAGTAAAAATGCAGTAACTACTAACCATTAATTTTTCAGGCTTTAGTCTATGAACATCCTGGACAAGAATTAGAGATTGAGCTCTTTGATGAAGACCCAGACAAGGATGACTTTTTAGGAAGGTAAATAAAACCCTTTGTAGCTATTGGAGGATAGCATAGGTCCACTTTTTTTTTTTTAAATCACTCTTAAAAATATGTTTTAAAATATATTTATGTGTATATGTTATGTATATTTGTAAAGGGCTCTTACATATAACATTTGTTTCACCTTAGATTTCTTAAAACATTTTTATTCTGAAAAGGTTTCACATTTTAGGGAAGAGAAACTTGTATATCTGTGTTGGTCTTTACAGTGACCACTAGCCACGTGTAGCTATTCAAATTAAGTTAATTGAAGTTAAATTAAAAACTTTTTCGGGCCGGCCCGTGGCTCACTCGGGAGAGTGTGGTGCTGATAACACCAAGGCCCTGGGTTCAGATCCCACATAGGGATGGCCGGTTAGCTCACTGGCTGAGCGTGGTGCTGACAACACCAAGTCAAGGGTTAAGATCCCCTTACCGGTCATCTTTTAAAAAAATACCGGTCATCTTTTTAAAAAAAAAAAAAAAAAAAAAACTCTTTTTCTTAGTTGTACTCTCCCTGTTTAAAGTGCTTTCAATAGCTAAAGCAAAACCTACCCCCTGGGCAGAGAGTTCTAGTGGATACCTTTGTTCTGGATTATAAAATGAATTTTTTAACTTTTTGGATTTGTTGGGTTTTTATTTGTTGGGATATAGTAATTTACATTGTGCCTACACATTGGGAAAATAAATATTGATTTTTTTTTTTTCCTTCAATTGAACAACTCGTATAGCTAAAAATAATGAGCTTTTTAAAAATATACTTCTCTGTAGTCTTTGTGATTTAACCTAATTATTATTTAACTGCATTTGTTGTGGCAAAGAAGATTAAGGGATAGATGACATTGAAACGGTTTGTGCTTCATCAAGAGTAGCACTGTATGTTATGTCATGGCTTCAGAATGCATGAGACCTTGTGAGACAACTAGCAGTGACTGGGAGATCTGAAGGACAGTGATCATCAGATCAAATGTGCATTCCAATAAAACCAGTGTATAGATTGGATTGTCATGGGTTGAGATTGGCCAGTGGCCCACCAGTTAGGAAACGGTTGTTATAGACAGCACTGAGACGTGAGGGTCCACGCTTAACATACATTGTAAGGGCACAGAGGAAGGGAAGGGTGACAAGAAAAGTAGGAGTAAAATCATCTCATCTTAGTCATTTCTGGGTTCGGGGGGGGGGGTGCCATTCTTAGGATTGTTTAAGGGGAAATTGAATGGGCTTTTTCCTAGATATACTGAGAGCTAGGTGTCCACGAGACACAATGCAGTGTAGGTCTAGAGTTCAGGAGCAACTCTGTGGGATGGAGGTGAGTTTTATACTTCAAAATGCGAGTGACTGAGTCCAGAGCGGTGGTTGACAGCACCAAGGGGAGTGTTTAAAATGAGAGGGTTGGAATATTTTTGAACATTTTTGGTGCATGCTTCTTTGTGGGGAAGACTAGGTTTTTTTTTTAACAGCTGCAACCTCAGTTGGGCCAATGTCAGTATTCTGACCTCATAGAAACCTAGCCCTACTCTTTCCCTTATGTCTCTTGACACTCTTGGCGCAAACTGGAGGAAGCTTTTGGAGGAAGAGTCTGTTTTTTGATAAACTGTGTAGCATTTTGTTGCATTTCTGGAGTACTTTTTCATAGACAAATACTTAAGTTTATTTCATTTGTAAGAAGTGTTTTTCTATGTTCTAAAGTTGTTGTATTATTATTTCTATAGTCTTATGATTGATCTTATTGAAGTTGAAAAGGAGCGCCTTTTAGATGAAGTAAGTTTTCATTTAGTATTGGTCTATTTGATAAACATTGACTCAGTGCCTATTCTGTGCCAGAGGAATCATGAACCACCCACCATCACCTACCACACAATGCACGGACCCCAGTTAATATTACAGTAACATTCGTTGCACAGATATCAGGAATTTAGGCCTTTTAGTAAGAGCAAAGTGAAGGAAATTAGAGTCAAATCAGATAGTATGTACTGAGTGGGCAGAGAACGTAGAACTGACTTTATTACAGACAGGCGTGTGATCCCTTGTAGGAGTTAGGACAGAGGCGTGTGAGAAGCCCACTAATGATGGAAAGTTTCATGATAGTTGGTGTTAACAGAGGACGTGGTACAGTACAGGCAGTGAGACTTAGCATGAGAAAGGTATCTATAAAAGCACTGGGGATTAACAGCAAGAGGACACTACTTCAGGGACCAGCCCGTGGCTCACTTGGGAGAATGTGGTGCTGATAACACCAAGACCATGGGTTCGGATCCCATATAGGGATGGCTGGTTAGCTCACTGGGTGAGCGTGGTGCTGACAACACCAAGTCAAGAGTTAAGATCCCCTTACTGGTCATCTTTATTAAGAAAAAAAAAAAAGGGGGCCGGCCTGGTGGCGCACTGCTACAGTGTGCCGCTTGGGAAGCGCGGCAGCGCTCCCACCGAGGGTTCG